CCTAATAGGAAGAGGTATAGTAGAAGAGAGATAGACAGATTAAAGAAGGATGGAAGAAATACAGGTTATAACATATAATGTGAACGGGTTGAACTGTCCTGGGAAAAGATTTAAGTTGTTTAAAGAGTTACACCATAGGGCAACGTCAGTGGTATTTTTACAGGAAACACATTTTGAGATAAAGTCAAATGTGAAATTAAAATCTAAATATTATCCAACATGGTACTACGCTGACTCCCCAATTAAAAGAGCAAAAGGAGTGGCAATAGGGTTGGCAAAGAACATGAGATTTGAACTGGAGGATAGAAGAACTGATCCGGAGGGGAGATTCCTGTTTTTGAAAGGTAAATTACAGGGAATCGAGTGTACATTAGCCAATATATATTGCCCCAACAAAAAGCCGGAGAACTATTTGAAGGGCCTGTTGAAAAAAACTGATGGACTTTAAAAAAAGGGCGTTTGATAGTAGCAGGAGACTTAAATCTCTGTATGGATCCCCAAAAGGATGCAACCTCCCCTGTGCGGAGAGAGGGGTGTGGGTCTCTGAGAGCTTTGAAGAAAGCGATTCACGAGTACCAACTGGTGGACACTTGGAGAATAATGCATATGAGAGACAGAGACTACACCTTCTTCTCTAAGGCACATGAGATATATTCGAGGTTGGATTATATTTTAATAGATCATCAACTCATAGAGTTATTGGTTAAAATAGAATAGAGATGAGTACATTCTCGGACCATGCCCATCACAATGAAAATGGGATGGGGAAGACGGTGGACGGGAGGTTTAGGATGGAGGTTAAATGAGGCCCTGCTTATGGATGAGGACATAGTGCAGAAGATTGGGGAAGAGATCAAGTTATATTTTAAGGAGAATGAGACAGAGGAAGTATCGACAGCCACAGTATGGGAAAGCCACAAGGCATATATTAGAGGTATCCTGATTGCGATGGGAGCAAGGAAGAAAAGAGAAAGAAGAGAGAGGGTTAGTGGGCTCCTAAAAGACATCCTGGATCTAGAGCAGATACAAAAGAAGAAAATAACAAGAGAAATAGGACAGAAATTAATGGATAAAAAAGATGAATTAGAGAGATTGATGGACGAAGAGAGGAGAAGGGTATATAATAAAGTACTAAATGAAAGATATAGATGGGGCGACAGACCAGGAAAATACTTAATGAGAGCTCTGAATAAAAAGAAAAATAGAAATTATATAGAAAGGATAAAAAACCCTAAAGGAGAGTTGGTTTATTCAACCAAAGAGATTATTAAAGTGTTCACGGAATACTATAGAAAACTGTATAATATCAGTCCCCATGGCTCTTCAAAGGAAAATGTAAAGGATATTAACGAAAAAAGGATGATATATTTAAAAAATGCAGGATTACCAAAGTTAAGTGAAATACAATTGAACGCCTTGGACGCGGAGATTTCCCAGGATGAAATAAAAGTAGCATTAAGAAGTACAGGGGGTGGAAAAAGTCCAGGACCGGGATGAGTATACAGTTAAGTACTATAAAAAAATATAGTGAAATATTGTTACCTAAGCTGAAGAAGTATATGAACGACCTGGGAGGAGGGATGGAGGGGAGAAGAGAATCTCTTCAGGCCTATGTTGTACTCATTCAAAAGGAGGGAAAAGACCCTTCCCAGTTTCTAGCTATAGACCAATTTCATTATTGAACACCGATACTAAATTGTACGCAAAGGTTCTAGCAAATAGGCTGAAAGATCTAATGCCTGAATGGATTCACGGAGATCAGGTGGGCTTTGTCCCAGGGAGAGAGGGTAGAGACAACGGGTTGAGAACACTGATGCTCATTCAGAAAAGTAGAAAAGGGAAGGCCCCGATGGTACTATTGTCGATTGATGCCGAAAAAGGCGTTCGATAGAGTGGACTGGGGCTTCATGATGGACAACTTAGAAGTGTTGGGGATTGGAGAGAGAATGCGTGAGTGGATAGGTAAATTATATAGGGAGCCCACCGCAATTATCACGGTAAATGGGGAGAGGTCGGAATCCATTGGAATGTCCAATGGAACAAGACAGGGCTGCCCACTGTCCCCCTTGCTGTTTGTTCTGTCATTGGAACCCCTGTTGTCTACGATAAGGAATAGTGGAGCGGTAAAGGGAATCCAGATAGAAAATACAGAGCATAAAGTAGCGGCCTTTGCGGACGACTTATTGTTTTATGTAGACAACCCTCGAATAACATTACCAAATATAATGAAGATCTTGAAGGAATATGGCGATCTATCAAATTTAAAAATTAATCCAACAAAAACAGAGATCTTGAACATCAACGTACCAAAGAGTGAAAAGGAAAAGCTACAAAAAGAGTTCCCCTTTACATGGAGAGAAAAAGATTTAAAATATCTAGGAATAAAACTTGCTATCTCATATAAACAACTGTATAGATTAAACTATATTTCTTTGATAAATGAGATTAAGGAAGAATTAAAAATATTAGAAGGTGGAAACCCATCATGGATAGGACGTATAAACCTAGTTAAAATGGTAATCATACCTAAAATACTGTATAGATTCCAAATGGTCCCAAATAAACTCCCAGAGGTGTTTTTTAAGATAATGAAAAAAATGTTAATAAGATATATCTGGAGGAACAAAAAATCAAGAATATCATATGAAATATTGAGTAGAACTAAAGAGAAAGGTGGAATGGGACTACCTGATGTCAAGAGATACTATAAAGCAGTAATTTTAGCAAGAATTTATGATTGGACATTCAACCACAAGGGGAAGAGTTGGGTAAAAATTGAAAACGAATTGAGTGGGATTAGTTTGAGTAAGATGATATGGGTTCCAGCACATCTTAGAAGAGTTAAAGAAAGCACAAGTATTTACACTTTAAATGTTTTAAGGGTATGGGATAATTTACACAAAAGTAGGAAATGGGAATTCAATTCTATATTAATGCCCCTTGTAAATTCTGATTATTTCCCCCCAGGAAAGGATGAGATATCTGGTAGATGGTTTAAAAGGGAAGATATCCAACTGAGAGATGTACTGGTAGAGGGGGAATTGAGACCATTTAAAGAATTAAAAGAGAAGAAGGGAGAAAGTTTTATTGGAATAGACGAGTGGAAATTTCATCAGTTAAAATGCTTTATTGGAAAACTACCAAAACCCCTGAGATTAAAAAAGGATTGGAATATGTTTGAAAGGTTGTTGGAAACACGTAGAGATGGGAAACACGGAATTGCCAAAGTTTATAGAATACTCACAGAATTAGACACAGACACAAAGTTAATTTTTATAACAAAATGGGAAAGAGATATGGAGGTGGTGTTAGACGAGGAACAAGATATATAGATTGATACACGAGACCAACAGAACAAGATATATAGATTGATACACGAGAATGTTAGTATGAGAGACGTGGAGATTAACTATAAATGTTTGACACAATGGCATATCACACCAAGTATTGAGCACAAGATGAGGGGGGAGAATTCTAAAATGTGTTGGAGAGGTTGTGGGGAGGAGGGCACGGTGTTTCACATTTGCTGGCAATGTCCGAAAATTCAGGCTTTCTTTAAGATAATAGTTAACTCAATAGAAATAATAACTGGAAATTACATAGGGTTAGACCCAACGATATGTCTCCTACATAGTGTTGGGATCACAGTAAATAAATATAAAGAATCAGGCGTATGGTACTATTTAAATGCTGCAAAGGGGTTGATACCCAAGTTCTGGCAAAAATCAGAGGTGCCGAAGGAGGAAGACTGGATCAACAGAGTAAATCAGATAAGTAGAATGGAAAAATCTTACTATATGCAGGAAGATAGGATGGAAATATACTATACAAGATGGGAAAAATGGGAAAAATCAGGACTGAAAGAGAAGTATAGAAAACTATAAATTAAGAAACTATTGGGCCTCGAGAGAGTATAGAACGTGCAAAGGGGAGGGAGGGGGAAGGGGGTGGGAAAGGGTTGGGAGGGGAGGGAAAGAAAAGATTTATTAGAAGGGGCAAGGTAGAAATGTATGGAATATTTATATGTATTGTTGTTTCTTCTTATGGAATTTTTTTGGTAAAAAATGAAAAACTAATAAATATTTAAATTAAAAAAAAAAAAAAAAAAAAAAAAAAAAAAAAAAAAAAGGAGGAGTGCTCTGGTACCTTTTTGGCATGTGATATTGTTCTGGTAGTTTGTGTATGAACAGGAGGTCTCGTGCCAGTGATCCCACTTCAGGGTCCCTTTCATTTTTATCCTGTAACATAAAGGTGAACTAATCTTTAATGAAAAAAATATACAGTTAAGGCACTTCATTACAAACAAACACTCGCATGAGGTTGGGCCTCTTTCAAGCTTGTTTATGTGTCCTTAAAATGTATTTTTATCAAAATCAATTGTAAAATACAGATCTTTCATGAGTTCTACATTGAACACTCAGTATATCTTAAATAAAGAAAACTTGGGCAGACTCGGTTCAAACAGCTGTCATTTCTGAATAATCTGTACATTAAAAAGTAGAAAAACACATGCAATTCACAATGCTCCCCTAAAATCTGCCGTGTTGGGGTCAATGTTCTTCACTCAGAAAGCCAAAGAGGCGGTTTCAGATGTACGAGTGAGAGATTCTTGTAATTAATCCCTTGTCTCCAGCAATTGGTGATGACTTGGCAGCTCCAGATTAAGTGTGAAAGTCTACTTTTGACAATGGGAATATCTCACACATAAGAGGTGGGCATTCATCCCATTTTGTGTAAACAAGTAGGAGTCAAATAATTCTGATGGAAAATATATAATTAAATTAATCTAATATGATTTGATGGAGAAACTAACGTGAAAATAGCATCAATCATATTCATAAAGTGTTAAACGCAGGACCCTGCATTCACTATATCAAGTCTCCCGGACCCTGCATTCACTATATCAAGTCTCCCGGACCCTGCATTCACTATATCCGGTCTCCCGGACCCCGCATTCACTATATCCGCTCTCCCCGGACCCCGCATTCACTATATCTGCTCTCCCCGGACCCTGCATTCACTATATCTGCTCTCCCCGGACCCTGCATTCACTATATCTGCTCTCCCCGGACCCTGCATTCACTATATCTGCTCCCGGACCCTGCATTCACTATATCAGGTCTCCCGGACCCTGCATTCACTATATCCGCTCTCCCCGGACCCTGCATTCTCTATATCCGGTCTCCCGGACCCCGCATTCTCTATATCCGCTCTCCCCGCACCCCGCATTCACTATATCTGCTCTCCCCGGACCCTGCATTCGCTATATCCGCTCTCCCCGGACCCTGCATTCACTATATCTGCTCTCCCCGGACCCTGCATTCACTATATCTGCTCTCCCCGGACCCTGCATTCACTATATCAGGTCTCCCGGACCCTACATTCACTATATCTGCTCTCCCCGGACCCTGCATTTACTATATCCGGTCTCCCTGGACCCTGCATTCACTATATTCGCTCTCCTCGGACCCTGCATTCACTATATCTGATTTCTCACAGTACACAGAACATGTAAGTGCAATTATTTTAGTAAATATAAACTGCTAAATACCTTTTCTCATCAGCAGTATATATCAGTCTTGTGACCTCTATCAGTGTCCAGCTGAGCACTGGTTAAAGCTTGTAGGATGAGTTTTCATTCTCCCCTGGCTGTCCTGTGAGGCTTCATAACCCCTGATCCTCTGTCTGGACAGTGCTGAGTGGCCCTGTGCTGATCACATGCACCCTCCCAAGCAAAAAAAACTCTCTAGCAATACAAACCAAACTGATCATGTGTAGCTTTCCCCCAAGGCTCGTTCTATCAGCAGAAGGATTGGGGACAGTAGAAGAAGGGGAGGATCAGAGAAGACAGGATCAAATAGCCTTTTTACACAATGCAGAGGATTAACCCCTTAGGTTCCACAGTGAGTATAACAAGCATGCTTTACTGCATATACAGACTGATTTTACTGTTGTGGGTTTAGTAACACTTTAGGTGAACAGAGCAGGAATGAGGAGTCATTATTGGTTTTTCACCACTGGAGGTTTGCTCGGTTTAGTACATACAGTGTATGGGGTATAAGTATTTTCACCATTTTCCTGCATTATTTGTTTCTGTTCTGTGGGAAGGGGGTCTCTTTCTTATTGCTTACATTCTTGCTAATTAAAGTATTACTAAAGGCAAAACTTTTTTTTTAAAGCTTTGATAGAGTTGGGAGGGATTAGAGTATCTGTGAGGTTTTTATTTCAGTCTGTGCCCCCATTAGGGAGATTTACGGAAAACCCCAAATTGTGGGTTGTCCCCAGAACAGTAATAGAGGGGACATTTTTCAATGGGGACACAAATTCTGGTGACAACAGCAAAACACAGTAAGGGATTTCCTCTCAGTTCCTGTTGTGGCTATGGGACAGAAAGTGAAAGCAAATCTCCTCAAAGGCACACGAATGGCAAAAATAAAAGCAGTTTTAAGTACTGATGCACTGATATATCGTCCGCTGAATATTATCAGCTGAAAATAGGGTTATCAGCGTTTTGTCGATAGAAAAGAAAAAAAAATGTGGTGGTAATGCTCATTGACTTCAATGCAAAATTGTGTCCCATTGAGTTCAGTGCAAAATCGCGGCCCATTGACTTCAATGCAAAATCGCGTCCCATTGACTATGCAAAAACGCGCCCTATTGATTTCAATGGAAAATCGTGTCCCATTGACTTAAATGAAAAAACGCTCCCTATTGACTTAAATGCATAATTGCATCCCATTGACTTCAATGCACAATTGCATCCCATTGACTTCAATGCAATATCACGTCCCATTGACTTCAATGCAAAATCATGTCCCATCGATTTCAATGGAAAATTGTGTCCTATTGACTTCAATGCAAAAATGCGCCCTATTGACATCAATGCAAAAACGCCCCCTATTGACTTCAATGCAAAATCACGTCCCCAATTTTCTTAATTTTATATATATATATATTTAATTTTATGTCCAAATTCTGTGTGTTACTTTCAGTAAAAGTTATTTTATGTTACTGGGTTGTATTTTTTTATATTCATTTAAATTCATGATATTGATTAAAAAGTCAAATATATTAGAATTATATATACAAAATATACAGTATATGTTTAAAAAAAAAAACTGTCCATTTTGGTTTGGTTTTTGCCCCAGTGCATCCTGAATTTACAGTTTTGGCTTTGGTTCAGAATTTTCATTTCGATGCACCACTAGTTTTAACCCTCCCTCAGGGGCGGACTGACCAGTACAGCACTCGGGCACTGCCCGAGGGCCCGGGTCAGTAGGGGGCCCCATGAGATGCCCCTGGTACCTTTCATTGGCTTTTTCATAGGCTTTTTTGGGTGTGGGCGGGGACACAGGGGCCCCATGATCCCCTATTGCCTGGGGACCCCATGAGTTGTCAGTCCGCCCCTGCCCTCCCTTACTCTATCCAAGATGAAATAAAAACACCTTTAGTTTTACTTTAACTATATGAACTTATTATGGAAATATTGTATGTATTTGTATTATTGTTTTTGTATCACTTTGTACAACATCATTGGATATTATGGTGCTATATAAACAATTAATAATTAACCTCTGGTTCTAAAGGTTCCTCTCCTCCCTCATCTCATTTGTTGAACAGATAGGTTACATTATAAGGTGTGCCCATGCCTAGAAATACACATCAATAAATAAACACACACAAAATACAAATCTCTAGTGTGATAGAGATCTGTGATGAAGCCTGGTGTAATGGAGGCTTAGGACACTCACCGTCAATGTTGAGCTCTGTGTTCCCCAACAGCGGAAGAATGTTTGGCATATCTGCATAACAGCTTTGTTCATACAATGTAGATAGTCACAATTAACTGGCAATTGCTGCTGGCCTAGGACAGGGTAGACTTGTATCATTCACTGTGCATACATATCCCACATAAAAGCATTACACAGGTCTAATATATATAGCAGAAGAAAGGATATGCATTTCTGGGGTTATAACTGTTGTGGCCAATAGCCCCATACCACTGCACTAGACCACCACTGAAGGAAGATCGGTAAATGGATACACAATGTATAGTTTCTAAAACTTTGATTAGTGATCACAGTGTCTGCAGATCACCTTCACCATTAACCACTTGAACACTGGCCTGCATATAGCCCTTCATTTAGTGCTGTGATAGTTTAACAATTATTCAGTCAATACCTTTTTTTTTTAACAGAGCTTTTGGTGGTATTTTATAGCCACTGGGTTTATTATTTTTACTATATAAAGCAGTGGTTTACAAACTGTGGACTGGAGGCCAGATGGGGCCCTTTGCTTTCTTTCATCTGGCCCTTGGGGCACTATTTCATTCACTGACACCAATAAAGGGCACAATTCCTATCAATTGCATCAACAATGGGGCACAGTTCCTCCCAATGAGAAAAAAAATGGGGCCCAATGACATTAATGATCGGGGCCCAATCCCTACCAATGACACCACTAAAGGGCGCAATTCCTACCAATGACAGCAATGATGGGGTACAGTTCCTCCCAATGACAGCAATGATGGGGTACAGTTCCTCCCAATGACAGCAATGATGGGGTACAGTTCCTCCCAATGACAGCAATGATGGGGTACAGTTCCTCCCAATGACAGCAATGATGGGGTACAGTTCCTCCCAATGACAGCAATGATGGGGCACAATTTCTCCCACTGACACCAATAACGGGATTGTTTATCCCTACTGATGCTGGGACATTTTGTACTCCTGATGGCCACAGTCTGACCCCCCCAAAAGTCTGAAGGATGGTAAACTGGTCCTTCGTTTAGAAAATTTGGAGAGCCACGATGTAAAGGGAAAAAAGGCCAAACATTTTGAAGAAAAAAAACTCTTACTACTTTTTATAAAACATGCCAGGACCATATGAACACCCTCAAAAATATTTTTTTTTGTAAAGTAGACACTAGAAGGTGATCTCACAATTTGCCTCAATTGTTTCTGTAAATGAAGAAACATGCCAATATCAAGGTCAGTAAAGCTGAACTCCTGACACAAATTCTTTCATTTAAATATATTTCTCATTAGCCACAAATGCTGTAAAATTCACCAAATGTAGATATCACCTTGTAAAAGAAGCAGTGATATCACTGTGTTGTATGTTACCTATGCAGAGATTAGAGCTGTGGGAGGGACCCAGCAGCTCTATCCACTACAGCCGAGGGTAGCCAACCTTCCTGGTCCTCAAGCTGTTAAGTAATTATGAGTCCCAAGAGGCATCGCAAGACCCTGATAGCCACAGGTATGATTCCCAGAGGCAGAGGAACGATGGGATTTGTACCTTCCTCACAGTTGGAGGGCCAAAGTACAAGCTGCCTGTAGAAAACTATAGAAGGGGCGGACAGAAGACCAGTAATGCACCACAAGCAGTAGGAGCAACAGTGACAGGTCTTCATCAAAGGGAGTGACACAGAAGGAATGTGCAGGAGTTGTGTAATGCTGGATTACTGTATATATTTAGGAGAAATAAAAGGACACCAAGGGGGAAAGTTACTAAAAGTGGGGAACTCAGAATCTGGTGCAGCTGTGCATGGTAGCCAGTGAGCTTCTAACTTCAGCTGGTTCAATTAAGCTTTGAAAATAAAACCTGGAAGCAGATTGGTTTCTATGCAGAGCTGCACCATATTTTGCATTCTCCAGTTTTAGAAAATAACCATCCAAGTACCACATACGATTTCACGTGGTTCTTGTATTTAGGCAATATATTTGTTTAGCATGGAGTTTAGCTGACAGCGCTTCACAGAATCATGTGAAGGGAAATCAAGTGCAGCTGTTTTGCAAAAATGTAAAAAAATGCATGGAGGAAATACAGTGTACAGCTTTCCTCATAGGGAGCTATTGTAAGTACGAGTAGTAAGCGCAGAAACAAATCACAAGGCTCAGAGATGGGACTGTGAGTCAGTAGTTTGGCATCAGCACAGAATGTTCGCATCTGTTTGGTACTTCTAACAGGTCCATGCCCACCCTTACAACTTGCGCATGCGGTTACAACATATAACACACTACCTGCTTTGATTTGTGCAATTGCATGTATGATGCACACTGCAAGCTCTCCTGCATGTTCCAGGGATGTTTTGCGTACAAACAAAACGCTATTTTCTGTGTCATAATATGATTCCCCCAGTCGTAGAGCCTCCTTCCCCCACACAGAGCTCTGGACTCTGGGGATATCCTGAGCTACAAGAAGCAGAAGAGGATTCTGGGAGCAACTGTCACATGTAAAATGGAGGATCGCTGAGCCAAACTGGTAAACAACCAGCTGACGTGGAGAGAGCTGGCTAATGTTCATGGGGACAAGATCACCAGTGGTGGATAAGTTGGCAGTTTTCTTAATTTCTCTCTCTGTAGAATAGAAAGAAAACAGAACAGGGATATCTGAATATATGAAGCTCTA